CTGTAGATAAGTGTAAACTGTGAAGTCCTGGCCTGTAGATGAGTGTAAACTGTGAAGTCCTGGCCTTAATGATGTTGCTCTTCTGTACTGGGCCATCTTTTTGGCCTGTGGCTGCTTTGTTTCCCCGATGTATAACTGGTCAACTCTGCAACTCCTCCGACTGAAGAAGTCTCTTGGAGAAGAGATGAAATGTTTCAACAAAGAAGAACCCATCCAAAGGACCTACGCAACGGTTTTTAGATTTTTCTGGGATGCATCAGGACGAAGTTTTGTATTAACTTGCATTTGATGTTCTGGTTAAAAGTTGCATTTAATTTTTTTGTGAAACTTCTGTTGTTTATTTCACTCTCTGGTATTAGCACCTGCTTTCTGGCCCTCTCTTCTTTGGCCTGAGCCTTCATCTGTTGTACTTCAAGTGAGTCCACGCGACGTCGACGCACAAACAGGTCGTGGTTCCCTATGCACAGCTGGAGGATCTGAAGAGCGGAAACAAACCAAGCTGAACCAACAATGCTGCTCGTTGAAGACAACAATCATCTGACAACCTCAGCTGAGCTCACCAGCTTGTTGACTCTTAGTCGAGAGGAGTTGAACTTGAAAACATTTGTTTTCTTGTCCAGAGGTTTGATGGTAAACTAAACAAAACCAGAGGGACAGAGAAACTATTTAACAAAGCAGTAAGAATATTTAAAACCCAACTTCAGCAAGAGAAAAAGTCCTCTGATGTTTGAATTCAGAGCTGCTTTTCTATTGAATTATGACAGATAAGTAACACGTTTAACAGCAAATTCTCCCACCTCCTTGTCACTGTAGGATATATTTCGGATCTCGTTCCATGGGAAGGAGCACTTCGGTGTCAGCTTGTTTTCTGGCTCGTAGATGTGCAGACCCAGGGCGTCCACTCCCAGCAGCAGCTCTGTTCCCTTTTTATTCTACACCACATCAGAGAGAATAAAGCTTCTCTACTGCTCCACACTATCGAACAGCTGTGAGACCATCAACAGCCGACATTCATTTGTACCTGCTTCTGTTTGCAAAAGACTGTTGGTAGGAAATGAGTTGGATAATGCTGGTTGTTTAAAAGGTAACAACAAATGATTAAAGCTGAGCTTGATTTTCTGAAATATTTTGTTTTTTATTAAAACGTATGTATAACTCTGCAGCATTTTATGGCTTATTTAGAGGGTTTCCGGTTTGTTTTCGTGACGACCCATTTCTAATTATCCAACAACAAAAATCAATACAGTGCTTTAGGTTCAGCACACACTATGGAACAATACAGATTTTTAACATTTATTTTATCAGCTTGTCTTATGAAGATGCTCCGTGTTGAAGGATCAGTGGATCTGTGTTCGACTACTCCACCTAGACTACGTTTTTGAACACAGATCCACTGAGAAACTTGCTTTTTCAGCAAAATTTAATTTAAAAACTACTTTTGAGGTTAAACAAATGTTCACAATTAATTTTAATTAATTACAAGTTAAGAAGGGTGTGGAAA